CCACATGTCCACCATGAGGACAACGCACAGCTGTGTAGGGGAGTGAGGACAGGCAGAGCAGGCTGGAACAAAAGCTGGAGAGGAAGGGGAACAGGCTGGGGGCCAGACCAGATAGGCTAAAGTGGCAGGTGCAGTCGTGTCTAAAGGACAGCTGAGGTTGGCATCTGGTCTGATGGTCAGCCCCGACCCCCGTGCCCAGTAACTATCTTTCTAGTTTTTAGAACCCTGGAGAATTCTAGAAAGGTCTGAACAAACCATTTCCTCCAACTTTGCCATTCCTCCTCTCCTGGGAGACCCCAAGGTGCATTGAGCCTGGGTAGCCAGCTATGCTCTGGAACCCCAAGGAAGAACTTAACACTGCTTGGCGAGGCCTGCCCTTGTTGGCCCAGCTCAGCCTGGGCTCATGGGCCCATCTGGGAGCAGATGAACCAGAGGTGCCAGCATTGTTGGGACAGTGCTGAGCAGGGCACGGGCAGTGAAGGCCTTGAGTCCTGTCTAGGGACTTGGAGACAGCTTTCTGGAGTAGGTGCCATCACTGCAGCTGGAGAGAAGACAGGGACCGAGGCCCAGGAGGAGAAGAGTGCAGGACTCAGGCAGTCAGACGCATAGACACTCGGTAACACCCCCATCCTGAGCACCAGGCAGCCTTTTTTAACATGAAGTCATCCCTCAGCCCTTCTTACTAGATGGTACTTGAACTTGAGAGCTTCGGATGTGAAGAACATGACAACAGAGAACTACTAAGGCTGCAGAGAGCTTGTAAATAAATACGTGAGCTTTATTAGTCACGGCTACAGACCTTGTCTTGAAGCAACAACCTGAATGTACCTTAGAAGTGACACATGGGAAGACTCGTGCTTTGGACATGATGGCAAGAGAGACCAGCCTGGGAACTCTGGCAGCCTTGTGGCAAGAAGCTGCGCTGTAATCTCAAAGGCATGCGGTTCAAATCCACCAGATGCTCTGCTGGAAATGGATGGGCAGCTCCTGAGCCAGTCGGATCTGACTCAACAGTACACCACAAAAAAAAAAGGGGGGGAGCTCTGGTGGCCTAGTGGCAAGGAGCTGCAACTACAATCCCAGAGGTGCACGGTGCGAATCCACCAGATGCTCTGCCGGGAAAAGAAGGAACAATCTCCTCCTGTACCAGTCAGATCTGATTGGACGGTACACTCACACAAAAATAATAATAAAAAAAGGGACCAGCCTGTGGAGAAGGACATCATGCTTGGTAGCAAAAAAAAAAAAAAAGAGGAAGCTCTTGAGGTTGGACTGGCACTGTGGTTGCAGCAGTGGGCTCACAACCATGAGGGTGGCGTATGGCCAGCGGTGTTTGAGTCTGTTTAGCACTGATCACTGAGAGTCGGAACCTACTTGATGGCAAGACCCTGAGGAAGCGTATCTGTGCCCCACTACTCCTGCTTGCTTCCCTGAACTTACACCCAAGCAGCCAAGCTTCATGTGGGAAGGAAATAAAGATCACCCCAAAATTCTGAGGCCCTTCTGTTCCAGGGTGGACAGGTTTTTAGTGCCCTCAGGGTCATTCCGTCAGTGAGGCCCTGGGGCTGCGTGGCGGTGGGCAGGCTGGGAGCAAGAGGAGCAGTTTGGTAAGGAAAGCGAACAGGGAGCACTCCTGGAGCTATGGTGCCAAAGGCAGTGGTGAGCGAAGTAAGTGTGTGTAGGAAGGTGGGGTGCTGAGAGCATAGGACAGTGGGAAGACCTCATCTCCATCAAGGGTCCACCCGTGGGTCAGACTGTGTCCAGGTCCTGTCCTGAGGGCAGGGACAGGCTGCAGAGTGGGGTGTCCTGCAGTTGTTTCATTGGGCTTGCATGTGAGGTCCCTCTGTCTTCTCGGTGAGAATGGACGTGGAAGACTGGAGGCAGGAGACTAGAGAGCAGCAGAAGGTTGGAAGATAGAGAGGGAGGAGGTGGCAGGAGAGATCTGGGGGGAGAAGCCACAGGCCAGGGGACAGTGAGGTGTGAATTCTCCCCACTTGGATAGAGTTTGGCGGGCACTGAGCAAGCAGATTGGCTGGAAGTGCAGCCCTGGGTTTGGGAGGTGGAAGCTTCCATGTGATGGAGACATGGGGTTTGTTCGGGAAGCTGGGTCAGCTGTTCTCCTGGGCAGGGCAGTGCAGCATGTAGGGTGGAGAGAAGACAGCTGGGGGTAGATCTGATGGTCTTGCATGTAGGAGGTACCAAGAGGACAGGAGCAGCTGGGAGCAGGCCGGGACCTGACACCCTGGGGACAGATGCCAGGGGAAGGGCTCAGTGACCAAGGGTCCTGACACCCTGCTCCCCTCCCTAGAAGCCTCTGCAGCAGCTGTGGAATGCCATCCTGCTGGTGGCCATGCTCCTGTGCACTGGCCTCGTGGTCCAGGCCCAGCGGCAAGCGTCACGTCACAGCCAGCATGAGCCTGGAGCCCAGGTGGGAGCCCCCGGCAGTCCCTGCCTACCCCTGGCCGCCCCCAGCCTTCGTGCCAGTGAGACTGGACCTGCCCTCTCCCCACAGGTGGACCTGTTCAAACGCCGCGTGGTGCAGAGGCTGGCATCCCTCAAGACCCGCCGCTGCCGCCTGGCCAGGGCAGCACAGGGTCCCCCGGAGCCAGGTGCCGAGACCTGTGCTGTGTGTCTAGACCACTTCTTCCACAAGCAGGTTAGCGCCCTGGATGGGCTAGCTGTTGGCTAATGTGTGACAGACACTCGCCTCGCTCCAAGAGACCCCAGCAACCTACTCTGTGTTCTCTACCCTACATGCACTGACTGCCCTGCCCGGGACGGGAGAGAAGACACAACAGGCCCTTGGGGATTTCCGGTTCAGGTGATGGGCACTCAGATGGGAACCCGGCCGCTGGCCTGTGTGTCCTTCCTCCTGCAGTGGCTCCGAGTGCTGCCCTGTAAACACGAGTTCCACCGAGACTGCGTGGACCCCTGGCTGCTGCTCCAGCAGACCTGCCCGCTGTGCAAATTCAACGTGCTGGGTGAGCAGGGATGGGGGCCCTCGGCTGGTGCCTCCTGGGCCCCACCTGACCCCTCTCCTCCTGTTATTTCTCCTCCCCCTGCAGGGAACCACTACTCAGATGATTAGCTGCCTGCCTGCCCGCATCTTGGCCCTTGGCCTGGGCTCCTGGAACAGGACAGGACAGGACAGAGGGTGGATAGGACAGAGGCCCCTGTGGGTGGGATGAAAGAAAGTGCATCTCCTCTGATAAGGGGTAGGATGTCATGCTGTGTCCATGCTGGGAAGGTGGGGCCAAGACAGGGTGTAAGGCTAGGACCACCAGTCCAGGAAGAGAGGCTCTTTGGGGCCATTCTCTATCATCCTAGGGCCTCTCTGGGGTCATTCTCTGTCATCCTGGGGCTCCTCACCCGCTGTCCTTACAGGCAGCTCTGCTGCACCCTGGCAGAGGCCTGGCCAGAGTATAAGGGATAGCAGGGCTCCGAGGACTCGGAGTGTCCTCTGGCCTGCTTGTCAGGCATCCCTGGAGGCCTGAGCTGCAGCATTTCGGGTTTATTTATTGGGGATGAGCTCGCAGAAAAAGTTTTCTGGCCGGGGGGGGGGGGCACCCTGGCCTGACCATCTTGCAGGATATACCTCAGTCAAGGCTGTGGCATTAGACCCAGAGAAGCCCATTCTGCGTGCTGACCACAGCAGGAGGCCCCACTGCATGCCGAGCTGGGCATACTCTCAGGCCTGGCTGGGACTAGAGGCCTTAGAGACATTGCATCCTCTGCTGCTCAGACAGGGCTACACGTGCCAGCCGGGATCCCAAGAGGCACAGGATAAAAGTGGTGCATCTTCCAGGGGCATTTCTTAATTGATTTTGGTTTTTCTCTAAGGGAAGATTTGAGTGGGGAAGTTTTAATATTAAAATAAACTTAGATATATATTTTGACAGAAAATGCAACATTTGTGTGCCTTTTTTTTTAAGACAAAAAGATCACCTTGGGCAGTACTTCTTATGGGAGGCAGCATTCTGATAGACTTCCCACCTCTATTGTGCTCCCACCCTGTGTGGAGAATGGCTTTTTCTCTGTGGCTCGGGTACATTATATGGGATCAGGAAAAGTACCTGAGTGAGCCTGGCCTAATCACGCAGTCCTTTAAATGTGTTTTGTCCAGCTGGTGTCAGAGGAAGTCAGGGCTGAAGCATGAAGGGGATTCAACATGGAAGAAACTCCTGCTGGTTTGAAGGTGAAGGGGGCGACATGGCAAGGAATGTGGGTGGCCTCTAGGTGCTGAGGAGGCAGACCAAAAAGGATGTAGGACTTCAAGTCCTGTCCAGTTTCTGCCAACAACCGGCAGGCGCTTAGAAGGGGACTCAGCCTTGGACTTGATATTGGCATTTACCCTGGGAGCCCCCCTGACTTTATCTTTCCGAGATGCCAGCCGGAGGGCTGGAGCTGTTGAAGCGTCAGTTAATTGGCAAATGCCAAGTGGGTGGAGGCCTGAGAGGAGATGATCTTTGAACAGTTCTCCTGAATTGGGGTACAGGGAGCCACTCTGATGCTGACACTCACCTGGGAGGGGCTCAGCCTTCCTCGGGAGCCTCACCAGAGGGGTGAGCCCCAGTGAAGCAGACCCAGACTGCCAGCTCAGCTCCACACCCCCTTCTTAACCTGTAAACGGAGGCACAGTACCAAGTGCCCTCCTTGCCAGGGGAGAATTTCAGCCGGGAGTGAAATGTTTAGTTAACGTGAACCTCCTGTCAGTGTCTTGGTGGGGAAAGACCTTCATCTTTACCCAGCTGTCCTATGTGCACTCCGCTCCCATCACCTCACCAGGAGGGAAGCAGGCAGCTGCTGTTTGCTGTGTGTCCACAGTGGCCAGTGACCTGTGTCGCTGGTCCTCAGTGGCCTTCCTCAGGAGGGGCAGGCAGGACCCTTTGCCCAGTCAGCCAGTGCTGTGAGGCCAAGATCACGGTGGGCAGATGGCTGGGCTTTATTACACTGGGCGGGCTGCTGCCCACCGGCCCCCATGAGCCTTGTTGCCGCAATGGCTACTTGGGCCGCTCCTGGGGCTGATGTGCAGAGCTGGCCGGGCCTCGGCATGGTGAGAGCCGCCGCCTCAGGCTGGCCAAAGCGCGCATGGGGTTCTGGGAGCAGATGGCTGACTGGGACACGGGCTCCCCTTGGGAGGTCTTGCTGAGCTGGCTGCCAGGCGGCTGAAGAGGCGATGCTAGGGGCTGGCCTGCAAGTGTTCTGCCTGCACTGCTGGTCCTGGTGGCAGGCGAGGGCCGCCTGCCCAGGCCCCTACAGGAAAGAGCAGACCACAGGAGTAAGCCTGGACCACCCACCAGGTCTGCCACCTCGCACGGATGGAAGCCCCACTCACCGTGGGGAAGGTCTCCGAGTCTTGGCTGGCTGTGCTGTTCCTGAGTTTCCTTTGATGAGGGGGGACCAGAGCTGGTCCTGGGGCATCATCTGCACAGAAAGCCAAGTTCAGAGAAGCTTGAAAGTCCCCTCCCACTTTACAGAGATCGTAGTGTGTGCCCAGACCCACAGTCACTTCCATTGGGGAACTTCCAACCTGCCCTCAGCCACAGGATAAGTGCAGGAAAGTTCATTTCTGACATGGCTCCAGAATGAACTTGTAATAAAGATATATAAGGCTATGGAGAGGACGCAGAACCAGGAGAAAGAGGATGTGTTTCTTCTCACACCTTTCCAGCATGTGGGAGCTCCAAGAGCCTCCCTGAAGGCCCATGTAACGGGCCATGGTGATGGGCTGGACTGCAGACAGATTCCCACTGGGTGGGTGACCTCTGCTGGGTAGGAGCCTCTGGGTCCCCCAGGCCTGCCCTTTTAGGTGGGGGGCTGGGCGGCCCACCTTGAGGCCTCCCTGTTGGGCCACCGACCGGATTTTGGACAGCATGGCCTGGAGCCGCCCATTCTCCTCCTGCAGGACGCGGATGCGGACGTTGTTGGCCTCAACCTGCATCTCCATATCATCTGTGACGTTGCCAGTGCCTGTAGGGGATATGCCATCTGGGGCCCCATCCCACCAGGCCTACCTCTCATCCCAGATGGGAACCCCTCACTAGTAAGATGACCATGGCGCTAAAGGATGAGAACTGAGTGGGACCTGGAGTTCCGGGGACACTTAGTAAATCCACAAGTGTCTTTGCCGTGTGGGGAACGGGTCTCTCCCCATACTTTGCATCTGGAGGACCAGGGAGGGAGAACTGTCCAAGATTGCACAGTCAGCTCTGGGAGTGGAGTCACAGGATTCAGCCTGGAGCTTTCCCTACTATGGGGGTGATGAGTACTTCAAGCTCGTGGTATCGCAGGCTGCTGCCTGCTCAGTTCTCTGCTTCCTGGTCTGAAAAAGGAGCTATTGCCCCTCACAGAGTACTTCTGAGGGTGACAGAGGGCCTGGCACACAGGTCATCTGCAGTCAGCCTTTCCACACACCGCAGCCACTAAACTGTGGTGGACTTTTTGGCAGCTGTGTGAATGGATTCACTCTCACTTTGCCACAAGGAAGCTGACAGTTGGAGGGCGGGGGACTTGGGACAGGAACCCAGGACATCAGGCACCCAGTGCTGTGCTGAGATAGGTGTCTAGCATGCCTCTGTGTCACAGACTTAAGGACACCAGACTGCTGGGCCTGTGTGTAGTTTGAAGAGAGGATGAAAAGAGGGACTTGAGTAGGATGAGTGAGGACTGGTGCTGGCATGGCGTGGAGCAAGGGCCTTGGAGGCAGACCTGTGTGTGAACTTGGCTGTATGCAGACCTGTGTGTGAACTTGGCTGTGTGGCCATGGGCAGCTGGCTCAGCCGTACTGACTGCTTCCTCCCCATTTCCACAGAGGATGGAGGGGGAAAGCCCTCCTCATGGGGTCCCAGGGTCAGGTCCCTCTTTCCCAGGGGGCTGCACTGATGACCATCCTGCTCTATGGCCATTATTGTCCCATTCTGCCCAGGGGCGCCCGACACTTGCCCCAGGTGCCTACTTTGGATCTGGGGCTCGAGGGGACCATGCAGATCGGGGAAGGCCACCAGCAGCCGCTCTCTTTCCTTCAGGTCCAGGAGCTCCCGCTGTAGCTCCGAGATGGTCAGCCTGAGGTCAGTCGTCGCCTGCTCCAGGTCTTGCTTCTCCCGCTGCAGGCTCTGCAGCAGCTCCTGGGGCAGTGGGGGGGCTCAGGCCTGGCTCCCCAGGGACACCTACACACACTCCACACAAGCACACTCACCCACCAGCACTCAGCTGGTTGCTGGGAGGCTCTGCACATGCCCTCACCTGCTGGGCCCGGAGCTGGCACTGCCCCTGCTCCTTCTCGCTCTGAAGGCTTTGCAGCTGTCCCTCCGCGTGCGCGCGCTGCGTCTCTGCCTCATCTAGGCTGCCCCGCAGCTCCTCACGCTCCTGGTCCAGACTGTCAAGCTGCTGTAGCAGGGACCTCTGTTTGGCCTGCAGGGACTGAACAGGGTGAAGGGCTGGGGAGGATGTGTGGGAGCAGGGCAGCTAGCTATGGGACCTCTCTTGAGCCTCATCTGTCAGGGTCCCTAGTAGTTCCCAGGCCCTAGCTCATGCTTTGTCCTCCCATCCTTTCTCTGGCTGACAGGCCAGCCACTTAGCCTTTGGTGTCCAAGTCTAAGCCCACCTCCTCCCAGTTCTAGATTTCACTAAGAAGACAAGGCTGGGTCTCCACAGCACTTTCACTGGCCCCTCCAACCAGCGGGCAGGAGAGCTGTGACACACCTCCTCTGTCCCTCCACATTTAGCTCAGAACAGGACCTCCATAAAGAAGTCAATGCAAAGTCTGGCTGTGTGTTGGGGAGCAGGTGTCCCTCCTCATGGGCCTTCTTCCTGCCCGGAGAGCCTCTCTCCTTGTAGCCCCCCCCATAGGTAGCGCTCAGGAGCCTCACCTCCTGGTGGCGAACCATGCTGTCAACACGGGCCTTCTCCTTGTCCAGCTCAGTGCTGGCCCAGCGGATCTGCTGGCTGGCCCCGTCCAGCCGCCCGGCCAGCAGTTGCACCTGCCCCTCCAGCTGCTGTACCTGCTTCTCAGCGGCTGCCCGGAGCTCTGTCTCCACCTGCAGTTGCTGTGCCTTTGCCTCTGGGAGGGTAGGCAGGGGTTGAGTCCCAGCACTGCCTCTGATCCAGGACAAAGCAGGGCTCTCAACCCTCCCAGGGAGGCTTAGAGCTGGGAGGTGGCACGTCAAGCTGGGCTCTCACCCGACAGTGTGGCCAGTCTTGCCCACCGGTGGCTGCTTACCTGCAGCCTGTGTGGACTCTTGATGTTGCTTCAGCTCTCCCTCTAGGATGGTCATCTTTGACTTTAGATCACTTGTTTCTAAGGCAGCCGAGAGAGGGGTCCTTCAGAGGCTGCACTGGGCCTGGCTGGCTGGCTGCCTTTAGACCCACGCACCCACCGAGGACAGGCAGCCGTTGCCCTGTGGAGCTGCCACACAGAGTTTCAAGAGGACTCTGGGATAATGTCAGTGGAGCCAGGCCCCTATCCACCCCGCTCATTCCTGGCTGGTGGCCTGCCCAGGCCAGAGGACAGGAGAACAGCACTGAGGTTCTGAGAGGACAGTTACCTGCCTGGGTCCCTCAAGCCATCCACCAGTGTGGACATCCATCAACCTCTGTACCATGATGTGTGTCACTGCCGTCAGGCTTCTGTCAGCCTGCAGGGGAAGCTGTTCTACTTGGCTGGGAATTACAGAACATCACCCCCGGGAGTAACCCTCAGACTGGCAGGAGAGTGTGGAGCAGTACCCCAATATCCTCACACGATGGCAGGATAACTCTGGGCTCCTGTTCTGGGGTCTCCCAGTGTTCCCCAACAGGACTCGGCTCTCATTGCCCACACTGAGGAGGGGGTGATGACTGCACCCTTTGAGGTGCCTGCTTTATGGTGCTCTTCCTCACTCTCCAGTCCGGGATTCCGAGCCCCCCGTCCCACCCCATACATAACTATGTGCACTCGAAGCCCCCCTCAGTGTCGGCCTAGGGACAGCCGCATCTGAGCCTGTGGCAGAGCCTCTGGACACAGACCTGCCAGCAGCTGCTGCCTGTCGCTGTCCCACGCCGCCAGGCGCTGCTCGCCCTCCTCCGCCTGCCGCCGCAGCGCCTCCTGCTCCTGCCTCAGCGCCTGCTCCAGCTCGCCCACCTGCTTGCTCAGCCCATCCTTCCGTGCCTCAGCCTCCTCCAGCTGGGCCCTGAGGGTCCCCACAAGCTGAGTGAGGCTCCCCATGTGCTTGCTGAGGCGCACCAGGTCTTTGCTCTGCTCTGCCACCCAGCGGCCCACAGTGGCTGCTGGCAGCGGCCTGAGCCCCATGCTGTCCTGTACCAGCTGCTGGAACTGGCCTAAGGATGAGGGCAGGTTCTGGCCATGACAGAGGCTGATGACCCCCTTGCCCACTTCGCGCAGGCTGCCCTGGATGCTGGTGCACGCGTCACAGGGCACCAGGGCTGTCTCGATCGTCTGCGAGTGGACACTCCTGGTATTCTTGGTGGGTCTGGCTAGGCGTTGCAGGGAGACTCTAACAGAGTCCGGCTCTTGGCAGGTCTGAGTTATGCCTGGCTGTGGGGAAGGCTGCGTGACGAACTTGGCAGTTATCAATTCTGGACTCCTGGCTGGTTCACCCTTGGCTGTGGGTTTGGAGGTGGGAGTCTCCCCCTGGTTTTCCCTTTTCTGTTTGGGGGAAAGAAATGGAAGGCAGGTAGAACAGGCCCAGGAGGTGACCAGGTTGGCCTGATACTCAGATCCACTAACAGTCTCTGACACCGATGTCAATGAGTGGACCTTCTCCAACTTACTTCTTCATTTACTAAAGCCAGAGCTGCCTCCTAGCTACCCTCTAGATCTGCTGTTGTTCTGTGTGTCTGGTACTGGGAAGGAGACCGTGACTGTGACAGCTGGTTTACGGACTCTCTCGTCACCACCTTCCCAAGCATGCTGCCCTTTTCCAAGGACAGGGCCCCTCCTGACAACACATGCTTGGAAAGGTCAGAAAAGAAAGGGAAGACCCTCAATGAGACAGATGGGAACAGTGACTGTTAACAGTGGGCTCGAGGATGTCAGAGATGATGGTCAGGATGGCACAGGACAGGGCACGGTTCAGGTCCATTGTCCAGAGGGTCATAGCTGACTCAACGATACAACATTGGTCACCACCGCTGTCAATCTTGGTTCCTTCTAAAACTTAAGGTAGCTTTCGAGATATCTCTGAGTTACTTTATGGACCAAGTTTTAAGAGTATTTCCTGTGAATACCCTTCGTATAACGTGGATGTGAGGGTAACAACAGTGAGTCTGTGGATACTAACTCAGGACTTAACACGCTGCCACACTCACTATCTCCATGTAAAGAAGACCTGCAGACACTTTTCTGAGATTTGGTTTACTTTTTGATTCTTTCTCATCATTCATTCTTTTGTTCTACTTCTTGCTATGTGCCATTGAGTCGGAACCGACCCATAGCTGACCCTCCAGTGGGTTTTCAGAGGGAGTAAATCACACAGGAGGAGACTGCTCATCCTTCTTCAGCAAAATTGTTGGTGGGTCGATTTGAACCACACGTTTTTGGGATTGCAGTGTAGCTTCTTACCACTAGGCCAACCACAGCTCCCTTTTGTTCTACTACAATCCCTATTATTTGACAACCTAGAAAATTCTTTTCTTTGATAATGACTCCATTTCCCCCACCTCCTGTAGAGACCATGTTTTTAAACATAATAAAAATGGTGGTGGTGGTTGTTGTTGCGTGCCATCAAGTCAGGACTGACTCAAAGCTGACCTCCGGTGGGTTTTCAGAGGCAGTAAAACGCACAGGAGGAGAATGCCCATCCTTCTCCCACAGAGCAGCTGGTGGATCTGAACTATGTGCCTTTAGGACTGCAGCGCAGCCTCTTACCACTAGGCCACCAGAGCTTCTTTTATACAACATTTATTAAAAAAACAACTAACAAAAAACAAACAACTAAAAGTAGATAGGTCCTCCTTCACTTTATACAAACTTTATTTCAAAACAAAACAAACGAACAAAAACACCACAGCAAAATTAAAGGTAGACAGGTCCTCCCTCGCTGTGTGGTCAGAGGATGATAAGCCATGACCCACAGTGGGTGGGTTCTCATTAGCCATGTCATCTACATGCCCTCAGAAGTAGTGATGCCCCACGACAGATTAACAGACAGGTCCAAAGTCCCTGAGGCAGGTGGTCCAGGCATACTCCCAAGGTCTGCATTCTTAACCCCTGTGCTGTGTAGGCCTTATTTGTGATGTTTCAGAGTTTATACACCCCTGGGTAACAGGGAGCCAGTGCAGGATAGAGGGGGCCTGTAATGTGAGCGAGAAAAGCTGAGCCAGGGTGGCCTGGACTTCAAGTGAGCTCAGAGGGATGCCAGTCAGGATGCAGCAGAGGGGATGAGGGTGGGACCCACCTACCTGGGGATCAACCTGCTGGTAGAGCATGCCCACCCGCAGCAGGCTGGTCCAGAAGCGCCGCACTGTGAGCCCCACAGACATGCAGGGCCCCGTGGCCTGGACAGGGGGCATCGATTGCTCCGAGCCAAGGTTCTCTAGGTAGCTGGCACAGCTCTGAAGCAGCAGGAGGAGCCTGTGGGTAGAGATGCCAGGGCAAGCTGGGGCTGACGGCAGCAAGTTACAGAGCCACGTGCCTCATTCTCAGTGACTGGCCCCACACATCACAGACTTAGAGAAATCAACTCAGGGGTTCCTTCTTCCAGGAAGCCCTTCCTGACTTGACCACAGGCTCCTTTCAGGGACCTCCTCTGGTCCTCTGGGTGGCTGCACTGCTGTTTGGCTGATGGACTGGGATCACCAGGGAGCTGAGACTAAGCCCGACCTTGACTCACTTGAAGTTCTTAGAAAGTCTTGGGCATGTGGCTGCCATCTGTCACAGAGGCCCGAGCCTGCACTGATGACAGTGCTGAGACCTGAGAAGAAGGGCAGGCTTGATGGCACAGGACAGGCAGGAGAGGACAAGGACATGCGTGCTGGACCGAGTCTAGTCCAGTGGCTTCTGCTCCAGGGTGGACTGCTCTGGGGCCACGGAGACACAGAAAGAAGCATGTCTAGACCTAATGCTGAAGTGCCAAATTAAAGCCAGAAAGGTTCTGGTTCTGAGGATGGAAAAGCTCCAGGAAAAAGGACAGAGTGACCTATGTGCTTAGACAGACAGACAGACCTTCATGGTGGATGGCTCCAAAGATTCTGCTATGCTACTTCCCTCTCCAGCCCTAACCCAATCTCCAGGCATGAACTGAGCTCTAAATGCTACACCCTGAGCCAGAGGCTGGGTCCTGGCTGGTCACTGCAGCCCCTCTGTCCTCAGGGATCCCAGTCTGGCCTGGGTCCCCTCCCGGCAGCCTCAGCCAGAAGTCCAGCACACTCAGGCCCAGAAGAGGTTCCACTAAAACCATCTGTGAGCATGGGACGATGTGAGCATGGGATGAGAGGAGTGAGCTTCACATCGTTGATGGTGGGTGCTGCTGGGTATGACTCAAGGCAACCCTATGAAAACAAATCAGAACCCTGTCCTATCCCATGCCATCCTCACCACCTCTGGCACACTAAATGCCCACTGCTCTAGGATCTGTGCCATGCCAATCCACTGGCTGATGGTCTTTCTCTCCTTTGCTATCCATCCACCTTTCCCAGCATGATGTCATAGCTTCATGACGTTGTTGTTATGTGCCGTCGAGTGACTTGTGACTCACAGCGACCCTATGTACAATAGATCTGAACCCTGCTCTGTCCTGAGCCAACCTCATTGTCTCCTTGCTTCTACGGGGCACTTCTCATGTGGGCGCAGCACGTGCAAAGTTATGAAGAAGGCAGGAATGTTCTACACTCACACTCACCCAATCTCACAGGATCCAAATGATGTTCTCACACCCAGGGCGCCTTCAGGCCTCACAATGGTAAGCCTGGCGGCATCTCTGTCTCTTCCACATCTGTGCTGACTGCCTCCCCCACTGTTTCCTCCGGTTGGCTCAGGGATAGAATTCTTACCTTATAAATGGAAGCCCTGGGTTCAGTTTCAGCCAATGCACTTCACATACAACCAGTGCCCATCCCTCAGTGGAGTTTTGTATGTTACCCTGATGATGAACAGATTTCAGGGAACCTTCTAAACTTAAAACTGACTAGGAAGAGAATAGGAAGAAAGACCTGGTGATCTGCTTCAGAAAAATCAGCCAGCGCAAACCTCATAGATCACAATGGTATGATCCATAATCAGTGAGGTAGATGGTGCACAGCCGGACAGCATGTCATCCTGCTACACAAGTAGTTTCCCTGAGGTGTGGACTGCCTTGACTGTGACCACCGGCTCCAACAGGAGAGTTTCTGAGTGGGGGAGTGTTGGCTGTGGCCTCCAGGAAGGGGAACGTGGACAACTATGTTAACTTAAACCAACAGCATAGGATCTACTGGCCTCTTCCTAGCTGGCTTGGCCAGAACACACTAAAATAATCCCATGTCTGGTGGTGTAACACACAGAGGGAACAATGTGGCCAGAAGATGCCAGGAAAATGAGCCTGGGATGGAAACGCTGAGAAGCAATTGTGGTATTGGCTCAAAACACCCAGGAGGCAGCGGGAATGGTAGAAGAAGCTGAGCCCTGAGCCCTGCGGCTGTGCGGCTGCTGAGACGACAGGGCCAGGGCCTCCTGCCACCCACTGTGGGCTGGGGTGAGGGCTGAGGACAAGGGAACATGGTCTCTGCTCAAAACCAGCAGGAGCTGGAGGGGCAGGGATACCTCAGGCCTGTCTCAGAAAGCATGAGTTTACTCCACATTCTGTAAACAAGGCTATTCTGTGTCCAAGAGAGGGGAAGGGACTCCTCCAGACAGCACGTGGCAAAAAGGCCAGTCTTGGAGCACTTGACTCAACCATCCCAGGCCAAGTTCTTTCCATTCATCAAATCATGGAGTCACGGATGACACCCATCATGTGCCCAATGCCAGCTGTGTGTCAGCTAGCTTCCAAGGCCTCCACAGTTCCCCCCCCCATTGCTGCTGAGGCAGGATTCTTATTATCCCATTTCACAGATGAGGATGCAGAGGGTCAGAGAAGTGGTGTCACTTGTTCTACACTCTGTGGTGCCTGGTTATCCTGGGCATAACTGTCCCCCATCCTACAGATGAGGAAGCAAGCTCAGATTTCCAGTTATCACTTGGACATGCTGCTGGGTTACAGTCAAGCTTCTGCAATGAAAGTTGGTTCTCTGGGCTGGACTGCAACAGCCTCCTGAGTGTTTCCAGGACTCTACAGGTTCATTTCCTCATCTGCCCATCAGGGACCACATGCCCCTCAACACTAGGCTGAACAAACAAGCTGAGGCCCCTCTGTGAGGTGAGGAGCGTGTACAGCTGTGCAGATCAATCTCCAGTGCTATAGGCGAACGTATCTACATGATGCTGGGAGGAAAGAGGCAGGTCTCAGGAGACCACATCTGCTGTGGGGCCCTTTCCAGAAAGGAAAAACGGCAGAGCTAACACGAGATAGCAAGCTGCTTAATATACAGTTCAATGCAAAAGTGAGGTAGTAAGTACAGGCTGAGGGCAGCAGACGCCTGGAGAAGCTGGGGAGGGGCAGGCTGAGTGCACAGGGAGAGAGAAGTCACTGCCCAAGTGTTGGCTCCTGGGCTCAGTGGGTGGTGTGTTCACAAGTGCTCATTATGTTAATTAAAAAAGGAAATAAAATTGTAAAAGGTGCTGTGTGCGGGCCAATAACTGTGGTCACGAATCAGGAGTTACAAGTTCTCTGAGTCTGTAACCCCGGGTCCATGAAAGCAGCCCTGGTGGCATAATGGTGAAGTGCTTGTCTGCTAAGCAAAAGGTTGGCAGTTTGAGCCCACCTAATAGCTCCATGGAAGACCTGGCAACCCACTTCTGAAAAGCTAACAGCTCGGAAAACTCCGGGGGTGTTCTATGCTGTCACACCAGGTCACTATGTGCTGGCACCAACAGCAGCAAATAACAAAGGCTATGTGTTATAGCAATAAAAGAACAAAACAGGAAGCTGTACGAATGAAATGAAATGAAAGGGGACTGAATGGAATGGAAATGGGAGACCACACTGAGAACCCTGACAGGTTGCCAATCTCATCCTCCCTTCTGGCGGGGACTTTTGGGGGTACACACCGGCTGACTGAGGCCCTCACCTGTCGATGACCAGCTCCAGCAATACAGCATGCGACAGCTGTGTGAACTCTGGGTCGCCAGGCACATGGTCATAGTGCTCCAGCAGGGCCACCATGTCCAGGTCGCAGGCCACCCGGTCGGGGAACTTCCAGGAGGGGAAGCGCACAGGCCCTGCGTGCGAGAAGACGTCCACGATGGCGCCCTGCAGGTCAGTGAGGTCCTTGCGCAGGCTGTCCATGCACGCCTGGCCGCCCAGCAGGTGTGCCATTCTCAGGGCCCCTGGGCAGGTAGAGGAGAGCCCCGTGAGCAGAGACAGCCACAGCGGATGACCCCTCCTGAAGTTGGACTGCTGGAAGGCTTTATGTCAAAGTCCCTCCAGACTCCGGGACAAGCCTGCCCCCAGCCCCAGGCCCCACCCTGCACCCCACACTCTGACTCCGCCCCCAGGCCCAGGCCCCACCCTGCACCCCACACTCTGACTCTGCCCCCAGGCCCAGGCCCCACCCTGCACCCCACACTCTGACTCTGCCCCCAGGCCCAGGCCCCACCCTGCACCCCACACTCTGACTCCGTCATTTCTCAAGCCCCTCCTGATAGCCTCTGTCTGCAAGTCCCACGCTAAATACCAGTGAACTAGAATGTTCCACCAGTCCTTCCCTCCCAGGGCAGGCCACTGAACAGGCAATGGGTGCATAGTTACAACCACAGTGCTGACCATACTGGGCAACTGTCACCATCTGCCTGGGCCACTGCAGCAGCTGATGACTGGATCACAGACCTGCCCACTCCCTCTGATAAACACCAGTTGCCAGAGGTCTGGCCTAAAACCTGTCTGACTTGCTGTCTGACTTGTCTGTCTTGGTGGCCAATCAGGCCCCCCCAAGATCCACCTCTGGTTACATCTCTCATCCTCTTTCCTCTATCCCCTTCACTGTACCATACTCACCACCGCAGCCACCATCCACGATCAACAGTAGCTCATGAGCACGAAGCACTTATGTAACTGATTCCTCCTGACGGACACACAGCCTTCCTTCCAATTCCCATCATTGGGCTAAATCCTCTCCTTCTAGAGTTCCTGGGTCAGCTCCTCCAGGAAGCCTTCCCTGAGTACATTCAGGCTGGCTTTGATCTCTTTGGGGACCCCCATTCCACAACTCTGCCATCATGGCCTCCATGCTCTGGACTAGATCCTCAGCCCATTCAACTCACTGTGGCTATCCTTGGTGTGGACAGCCCCTGGCCTGGAGCACTATCAAGACTCACTGGCAAGGGAAGAACTGAGTGATCAAAAGAATAAAAAAAATCTGTATAGGATCTTTGGAACAGATTAGCTTTGGGGGAAGGAGAACAAGTCCTAAAGGGGAAAGAAAATCTTAAAGACACCCATGGAGAGCTATCCGAATTTCTCTAGTGATAAGCTCATTACAACATGTCAATCCACCTAGCTGGATCTTCTCTTTCACTTTTCCTCCACTTTTCCAACCATTATGTCCCTCTCCAACTAATAACCTCTCCTAGCACCATGCATGAAGTATGAGAGATGAAGCTTCATCATCTTTGCCTACAAGAAGCCTTCTGGCTATACCTTCTCCAAGACATACCAACTTACACAGAGAGCTAAGCCCTGGTGTTTGGCCTCAAGACCGCTGATAAGTCACTGTCCTTCAGGACCCAGGTGTCTCAGTAGTAAAATGAGGGCATGTCCCACCAGGCTGGGTTGTCATAAGGACATTATAGTATGTGCTGGCCAGGCAGCCACGGAAAGCTCTCAATACTGTTACTATTACTAATATTAGTAGTACTAACAACAGCCACTAGGGATGATAGAAGGAGAATTGATGCCTTTGAGCTGTGGTGCTGGAGAAGAGTATTGACTATATACCATGGACTGCTGGGAGAACAAACAGGTTAGTCCTGGAGAAAGTGAAATCAGACTGCTCTTTGGAGGCAAGGATTTTGAAGCTCCGTCTGACATACTCTGGGCATGTTGTAAGGAGGAACCAGTCCTTGGAGAGGGATATTATGCTTGGGAGGGTGTAGGGACAGCGCAAGAGAGGAAGACCCTGGATGAGATGGACTGACTCAATGACTGAAATAATGAGGACAGGTGTGTCAGAGACAGTGAGGTTGGCTCAGGATAGAGCAGGGTTCAGAGCTGGTGTACATAGGATTGTTGTGAGTTACAGGTTGACTCGACAGCACATAAGAAGAATTATAACAAAAACAAGAGCAAAAGACTAGCCTTGTCTTGGGCAGTGCTAAGTTCCCTGTGGGGCCACACAGACTTCATTTCGTCCTCCTTCTAGAGTTTGCAGACTAAGAGATCTGAAGATGGAAATATGGAGGTACCATGCATGGCCCCTGCCACTGAGGATGGAGAAACTGGTACAGCTCTACCTTCACTCATGTGGCTTTTGTTGGGGGAATTTCACGCCCTAGTCGGACTAGGGTCAGTAACAGGGAAGCTGGGTGCTAGGTGACTATGAGGATGCAGAACTCTGGCCTCTCTCTACCCTATTTGAGAGGGCAACTCTGCCCTGACATGCAAGGACTATCAGGACTGTATGTAGGCCATGCCCCCTTCCAGCAAATCTAGGGCTAGCTGGTAAACTTCTTGCTCCAAACCTCTTTCACCTAATCTCACTTAGTTCAGAAAATAGCATCTGACTCTCCCACTGAGTACAAATGAGACGCACTCCAAGCCTGAGGACTTCCTCAAATGCCTCCTCCTTCACCCCAACATCCAAGCATCATATGCTGCTTGTGATCCTGCATCAGGACCACACAAGGAACCTGCCTCTTTCACGGACACTGCTCCAGCCCACCTGCTTCCCTCCTTGCCCACTCCACCTCACCTTTCTGTCCATAGGATTTCTTTTAAGAAGGCAAGTCAACCATTAATTAAATTAGTCTTTCCACAGCACTGCCAACAACTTTTCCTGAGGTCTCCTGGTCCTGTGTGGTCTGTCCTCCACCCCGCATCTGACCACCAGACCCGGAGCACTCGCCATCCCTACATTTATCCAAGAGCCTTTAACATATCCCTCAGGCCTCCATCCTGATGTTCCTCGTGCAAAAGCCCCCTGGCTTTCCAGGCCAGGTTAGGGCTCCTGTTCTTTTTCTTCCCTGCGTACACCACTTCTGGGACTAACTCCTTATTGGAGGGGTTATTTGTAGTTGCTGGTCTGTCTTCTCTGCAAGGACGACCATGCCTTTTTGAGTTCACCTGGCCCTATGGGTGCAGAGCTCAGAGGCGCCCAGGGCTGCTTCCCAGGCTCTGCCCTCACCTCTGTGCAGGTGTCGGCTGTGGAGCAGGGGCTGGGGTGTCTGAGAGTCTCCAGCTCTCCAGCTGGCCTGTGGCTTCCTGTCTCCTGTGTACAGTCTGTCCCTGAGTAGCTGTTCTCTCCCTGAGGATGGATGAAGGCAAGATTGAGTAAGGGAGCTCAGGGCAGGCTTCCTGGGAAGAAGGGGGTGTTGCAGGCTGGATAAACAGGGTGAGGGAAAAGGAAGGCGAGGCCACCAGCCAAGTGCTTCTCTGAGTAGAGGACACACTGTGTACCTAGACCCCTCCCCAAATCCTCAAGTAAGTCAGACTGGGCACCGCCTTTGTGTAGGTGAGAGAATTGAGGCCCCAGAAACGTAGGAAGCTTGCCCAAGACACTCAAGGAGCTCAGAATCTGAGTTCAACATCTGTGCTCTGTCCTCGCATCATTCTGTTTAAAGCAGCATTTTAGAGAGAGGTGGCCTAGTGGTAAGAGGCTACACTACAAACCCAAAGGCATGTGGTTCAAACCCAACAGCTACTCCACGGGAGGAGGATGGGCTGTTTCCTTTCATGCAATTTGCTTCCTCTGGAAACCCCTTGGAGGTTCAGCTACAGGCTGGTTCTGACTCAATAGTTCACAACACCAACAATAACCAGCCACATGAAAAAAGGGGAAAGAAACAGGTAATTTCACCTTTATATCAGATGTTATGGAACCCAATAGGAAGCTTTGGTGGCCTCATGGATAAGGAGTTGCAGTGCCAACCCAAAGACAGGCGGTTCAAATCTACCAGCTGCTCAGAGAGAGAAAAATGTGCAATCATCTCCTTCTACACTATTTACAGCCTCCACAACTGGCTGGTGGGTCAGCTATAAGTTACTTCCAACTTCACTCTTGCAGTAACAACAAAGTATCAAAAGAGTATCCTTTCCATAAGAAATAAAGTTCTTAAAGAGATACTTCCTATTTTTTGTTGTATCAAATTCCAAATACCAGTGTGTTATTTGATTCTTTTTTTTTTTT